ACAATAACTAGTATTAGAGCATCCGGTTATTTTGTGCCTTTCTGCAACTACACAAAGTAGCTTGGGGTTTAATTTAGTTTAGTTTGTATTGAAAAATGTATTGACTGGAAAGGAAAAACCATCAAGTTTGACAGAAATAACTTTAGATGGACACATGTACAATAGTGAACTGCTACGTAACAAATAAGTCTAGAATCCACAAAAAAAAAAAAAAAAAAAAAAAAAAAAAAAAAAAAAGTCAGTGATCAAGCATGACCAAGAACGTGAATTTGTATTGTCTCAACATCATCAGGTATCTGGCTGGGTTGGAAGAAGGCGTAATAGAGCTTGATCACAAGCCCACTGAACTAAAGCCGGCCCAACCAGAATGATACATGAACAAACTGGATTCTGAAACACCCCGTGAACCCAAAAAAAAATGGAACAAACGTAACAGTGATTGAAAAGATGTTTCTTTTAAGTTACTATGAGGATAAACGTATTTAAATTTGTACTTGTGCATATAAATTCAAGATTGCAACAAACCATATTCATTCTCACCTGCATATATAGCTGTCGTAGAAGCCAATAGAGCTTCACATTAATCAAGCATGGCTCTTTCCTGGGCCATTTTTTTTAGTTAGTATTCACACACACGTTTCTTTTAAGACTTGAAAGACTTGAATACCTCTCTTTAAAAAAGTAAGAGTTTAAAATTGCTAGGCCATTAACCGTTAATTTCCTGGACTATTATATATATATCAGCGAGTTCAGAAACCAGACAGTTCATCCCCTCTACCATAAAAAGATTTAGATCCCAAGCATTTGATGTTCCAAAAAGCGCATGTAAATATTTAGTTAGCAGTTTGTGCAAGTTGAGGCAGCACAAGGCCAAACAACTCAATATAGAAGTCAATAATCAATATGGGTGTACAACACGCATCTCTCTCTCTCTCACACACACAAATATAAAAAGTGTATATTAATTAACAATGTACCCCAAAAAAAAAAAAAAATACTATTTCAAACTGTAAAATAAAACAATAAAAAAAGACTCTCCATTAATAACCAGATATACCAAAAAAAGAATAAATGATTATTTAAAACTGTAAAAAAATAAATAAATAAAATAAATAGATAAATAAAAAATTTGACTCTCCATTAATAACTAGAATTATACGCTCGACACTAATTATCAAAAGTTAAAACAATTGAGACTAAGTTGTATAGGAGGAGGAAGGCTTAGTGATATTGCGCCATTCGTGTTATTAATCAATTATATCGTGTTACATAAGAAATTTGTTTTAGTTTAATTTAGGGGTGCAAATTGAGTGGGTTAGCCTAGTTTGGCCGACCCGAAATTTTTTGAATTAGGCTTACATTTTTAGAAGCTTGGGTTGGGATTGGGTTGAAAATTCTCAACTTGGGCCCAATTCGGGTTGGCATCAGGTTAGAACGGTTCTAACCTCATCCCAACCCATCTAACCTGATTTTGATTTTTTAACCCTCCCCCCCTCCAAAAATAAAATCCTTCGATCTGCTCAAAGAAAAAGCCACCACCACGTGCCGCTGCCTACCTCCTCCTCTGCCACCGTTGTCTTCCTCCTACACCTCTACCACCGCTATCTTCCTCTTCCACCTCTACTTCCGCTGCCATTGTTTCATCTTCAATTTGGGTTGTTTGGTCGTGATGGTGTGGTTGGGAGTGGGTGATCGTAGACAAAGGTTATTGTTTGGTTGTGAATTTTTTTTTTGAAGAGATCTCTAAATTTATTGTTTGGCTTTGATTGTGTGTTTGGGGGTGGTGGTGAAAAAAAAAAAAATAATAATAATAAATTTGGTCAATTATTTTTGAAACTCAAATTGAAGATTTCAAATCTTTTTATTTTTCTTGTTGGGAGAGAAGAAAGAGGGGCTGAATGTTGTTAGGGTGTGATGAGATCCTTTAGATGCAATAATGGACGGTTAAGATTAAGTTAAAATATATATTTTTTAAGGATCAATTGTTGTGAATATGTGTAATATGCAGGTAGGAGAGAGAGATTAAGCTACCCAATCCCAAAACTATTTGGATTCGGGTTCATGGGCAAAGCCTACTATGAACCTTTTTTTTTTTTTTTTTTTGGTTATGTCATCTTATTATGTTTTTATAAAATTTCAATGGTAAGTAATACACCGCCTTTTCAATACTAAAAATATTAGTAATACATACATATTCTGCCTTTGGAATGGTATTTTTTTTAAAAAATAAAAATTAAATTCAAATATGGAAAAATAGGAAAAAAAAAAATTAGGGTTGAAAAAAAGAAAAAGAAAAAGGGATTGTCCTGTATACCCGCCCGCCCCGTGAATATTCGGATTGAGTCTCACTGTTTGAAGCCCAAATTTAGATTAAATCGGATTGGCCCAACCCAATCCGAAATAGAATTGAGGTTGGGTTTGGGTTGGGCTGGACAAGCCTAAGTTGCATCCCTAATTTAGCTGATCCCTGTCACTATGTGTCAACATTTAATTAGTTAATGATACTATGTCATTAATATAACAAAAACAATAAAGTATTTCTCATAGTTAGGGAACATCTAATACAAAAGTTATGACAGGAATATGAACATGTAATAATGACCCTTTGTGGTTAAAATTTGTTCATTGTAATAATTTCATCTTCTCAATTAGTTATTTAGCTTCTTATTTGTAACGATTTTTTTTCATTCTTTTGCTACGATTTATATTTAAAAGAAAACTATTATTGTTCGTGAATGGCTCATGAGCTTAGCTAATAGCCAGTCCCAATTGTTTAGAATTAACTAAAAAGAAAAAGAAAAAAAGAAAATTTAAGAGGACATAATAGCCTTGTTTGGCTCACAAAGTGGTCTGAGGTCGCTAGCCAATGAATGGCTGACCTAGAACGCGGGCGTGCCAGAGTCCTGATCGACTCGAATGTTTCTTGCCAAACTATTCCTATCAGGTCGGGTCACCGACCTAAGGTGATTCAGGCGAAAGTTGGAGAGTAGGAATGACCCTCTCCTTAAGGTTACTATTTCCTTTAAGAAAGGACTTTAAACATTTAAGATGAATATCAATTAAAAGCAACTTAAACTGAACAATAAATATACCTGAATCTGCAAACCTTTCTTCATTGAACTTGACTGATTACAATGATGAATGAATTACAAACTCCTGATTGAAATGGAAACTAAAGTATTGAATGCTGAAGGATGAACTAAGAACTAAATCGATAGTGCTAAACTGAACTTGCTGAAATAAAAGCTAAGTGCTAAACTGAACTTGATGAAATAAAAGTTAAGTGCTAAGTGATATGAATGCTAAAGGTTGAACTTTAGAAATGGTCTTGGACCCCTTCCTTGTAAGCCTTGAGTGGGTATTTATAGAAGCCTCCATCTGGTGTTGTCCCTTTCAACCGTTTCTCTAGAAATTGATTGGTTGTAAGTTCAAAGTGATTTTATGTAATACCCCTAATTTCAAAAGGATAGTCCTGGTATTTAATTTATGTTTTAATTGATTTTTTTTTTTAATTATTTGATTTACTTGACTTATTTGTATTATTTGAATTAATTAAATGGTGTTTGAATTTTAAATTGTTTAACTTGTTGATTGGTGTTTTATTTGCAATAATTGATGACTTGGTGTTTAATGGTGATTATGTGAATTAAGTAATTATTACATTGTATTTTATTTTCTATATTACGTTAGATTGGACTTTATCATTTTCTTTAATTGATTTGATTATTAAAGGTTTTAATTTAGGAAGTATTTTAATTAACTATTTTTCATAATTTAGGATTTAGTTTCTTTAGCCGACACAGGTTTTAATTAAGTTCTATGGGCCGGTTAGGATTTATTTAGGGCTTTATTTAATTTAGGGTTTTGGTATAACTCTATAAATATATGGGTATACGTCTGCCGAGGGTTTCTGAAAACCCTATTCACCTTATTCAGGTATACAATGATACAGAGAGTTGTGAGGGCAGAGTAACAGAGAGGGAGTTTACGTACGTTACAGAAAGAAAGATTTAAGGGAAACACAGAGTGAACTTGGGTGATTAGCAAAGCAACTCAAGGAGGAAGGAGCGTGGTAGTGGGGAACTACAGTGTAGGACACAAACATATCACACAGAGACGGTGAATTGGAATTTCAAATATGAAATTCAAAGGCAAGTCTCTGTTCCACTCTATCCCTTTAATCTGTGTTCTGTGCATGTTTAGGAAGACTCCAGGGATTAAAATAAGTTTTAAATACATCTTGTATGCATGTTAATCAGTGTTTAAAATTATTGAATTAATCTATTTTGCAGTTGTTTAAAATTTCAGTTTTGAATCCTACTGCCGTTGTTTAAAAAAAAACTGATGTTTAATTAACACTACAACAAATAAGGTTTTCAGCGGCGGTCTAAACTGCCGGTTTTAGGTACAAAAAGCGTCGGTAATACATATACCGGCGGTTTTAGATAACCGCCGGTATAGTCACCGCCGATAAGCTTCACCGGCGGTTTATAAGCAACTGCCGGGTTTGAAATCATTATTGGCGGTCGAATAAAACCGCCGGTGAAATTTTAATTAACGGCGTTCTTGTCTGCCGGTGTATTTTAAGTAAATTGTCATTGTAACTGTCTATTTTGGCACTTTGAAGCGCCGGTAATGTATGTTCTTTTTAGGGGCGTTTGTAAATGCCGGTGTTAGAATTTATCTCCGGCACCTTAAAGTGTCGGTAATGTATAATTTTTTCTTTTTAGGGGCGTTTTAAATCACCCTTTTTAACGATATACTCCGGCAATTTAAAGCGCCGGTAATGTATAATTTTTTACTTTTAGGGGCGTGTTAAATTGTCGGTGTATTGTAAGTGAACTGTAATATTTTTTTCTTTTGGGGCGTTTTAAACCGCCGGTAATGTGTTAATTTTTTTTTAAAAAAATATTTTTTTCTGGTTTAATTTATATATTAGCAAATATTTTATTTTGTTCCCTGTTTAATGAAATCACATGTAATTTATCAATCACAACACATCCAACAACTTAAATTTGATATATAACATAGAACAAAGAAAGTTGCATTAAAATTCAATAACATCCCATAACATCTAAGTTTTGTTTCAAAATGTCAAGTGCTAATAAAAGGTTCAAAAGGAAATCATGCAAAATAAAACATCAAAATTTCATTGAGAATTTGAGTGAGACTATGCGAGGGCCTTGAGAATTAATGGTTCAATTTCATCTCTCGTCTTCCTTCAAATTGCCCTACATACATTTAAAATAAAAGCCATGAAACAAAGAATAATAATTAAGACAATTAAATGTATGGTTAAAAGAAAATGATAATTAAAATCTAAATGCTCACCAAGGATGAAATTCAATGACCAAAAATAAAGTTTAAGGATCACCAAGTGTAGTAGTTGAGGAGCCAGGTACCTTCACAATAAAATATAATTTTATTATGCACCTTCATAATAAAATATAATTTTATTATGCACCTTCATAATACAATATAATTATAAATATATTAGGACTTATAAAATTTATATAGTTAAATGTTTACAAGGGTACAATAACAAAATTATTTACCTGTACATTAGAATTTTGATTTTCGATATGACGCAAAATCATAGCCATCTTTGCATTCAAAGCTTCATATTTTTCATCATACTCGGCACGCATCTTGTCCACTTTCTCATTCATTTCTGCACGAGCAAGACGTGCCTCTTCCTCTGCTTGTGAGGTCCTCCTTATCAGCTCCGCTTTACTAAGAGATGGCCCCCAAAGACTAGTTGGCGTAGGTCCCAAGCCATACATCCGAACACGGCCCCTTCTTTTTTCTCCCCTAACTTGGGCATAAAAATCATGGGGTGAAGGTTCATCTGGGTTAGAAGGCTGAGTTGCAGCAAGCTCTTCTAGTTGTGTCTACATACATAGAATGGATAAGGAAACACAAAAAGATAAAAAATATCAAATATAATAAATTTTAGTACTCATATTTTACACTTAATCAAACTAGAAAATAAATAATTGAAGGTCTAAAAAAATTCTTACAATCATTTTGGCAGCATGTTCATCACTAGCTTTGCCATCCTTCTTGCTCTTATGTGTTGCGCAAAATAGTTGAGCACGAGTTGGTGCCTTCCCTGATTCCAACTTCATTTGTTTTTTTTTTTTTTTTTTTTTAATATATATATATATATATATATATATATATATATATGTTATTATAATTATATCGCACTGATGTATAATAAATTGTGTGACATACAAGTGATTAACTTAAAAAAAAAACAGACTTAACCTTTTCAGCCTTCCGCGCATAACTCATTGTCCCAGTTGTGTGCAGCATTGTTTGCTTAGAGCGATTTACTTCATTTTGTTGGCTTTGTTTCTAAAACAAAGGAATAAGAAGGTATATATTAGCCTTTTAAATTGTAAACACACACATGTTATATATGAGCTAAGTAGATTAATCCTTATTTTTAAACAAATGTTATATATGTTACAGGTTAAGTGAACACTAACTATGAAAAAATCAGCAGGATGTCTAACAACTAAATGATTCAACATTCTTTTGTACATTGACTTCCTCTTTGTTTTTACAACTAAAGTTGTCCTGTAATATCATTTCTACTCAATTTATTAGCTTCTTGCTAGTTGCTTTTGCTTGTAATCTATATCAACTTCTAGTTTTTTGGTCAAATTGTTTAAGAATAAATAGAACTTGGTTCTGCTACATTACTATCCTTTAAGGTTACTTTCATTTCAGGTTGTAAATGACTTGTTGAATCCAGCGGGATAGAATCTAAGAATCAGAGAGGACACTCAGGTACTTTTTACCATTTTATTGTTATTATGATTTGGTAATTGTTATTGGCTGAACTTGGCAAAGCTTTAGCAGAAAATGTGTTGAATATGACACATACAAGGATACATCAAAAGCTTCTGTTTCCTAACTCTCATGACAAATCAGCAGGATGTCTAAGAACTAAATGATTCAACATTCTCAAAATTAAAGAGTGCACCATAAAATTCAAGGATTGATTTCAGACATTTGAAGGTTAAAGAAATGAGATGTTTTATATGTGGGATGACTAAAAGAAATGAGATGTTTTATTTTATCTGGGGTTGGTGATAGGGGGGAGCTAGAACATTTGACTTCTTCACTATAAACAACACATTCTCGACATATATATTTCCTTGTCTTGAGATTTTGTATTAGAAATGTGTTATATCAAAACCTACCAAATTATAAATGGAGAAGCTACATATATCTGGATTGGTTGGGTTGAGCTAAATTATTGGATTATGAACCACCAAGAATTGTAGCATAGTGAATTAAAGTATGCTACAATTAAAGGAAACATTGACATCAGAAATATTTTGTTGTCTCTATGATATTTTTACTGAACCATTAAATAAGTAAAAAATAATTAGATGAGGAAGTAAACCTACCCTTGAGAGTGTGTATCTGCTTTTGATTAGGCTGGTATTATTGTAAATCGCAATGGATATGGAAGGAGTAATTAAATAATGATCAACTGGAAAGGACCAAATAGCCTACCTAAAAAGGAATCTATATCAATATATATATATATAGAGAAAGAGAGAGAGAGAGAGAGAGATTTTATGAAAAGAGGGAATATGTGTGTTTTTGTGCGTGTGTGACCAGAAGGGAATGCTTTTAAGACTAGCAAATTGCTCAAGTTGTCTCAAGCACTACTCAGTTGCTTCACTTATTGCATGTTCCTTTTGGGATTTCATTCCTGGGTTATGGCCTCCCAAGCTGTTCTCCCAACCTGAAATGGTCTTTCCACCTACACTGCCTCTTGAAGGTCTCCTCTCCCTCGGACCCAACTCATAGTGCAAGCATGCTGATTTTAGATCCACCAAGACCCCGCCATTAATAATAAACTTATGGTCCACTGATGTAGCAGCACTCAGCACTTCACAAAAATTTGAAATTTCGGAAGTTGATACTTCTCTTCATCTGTAGACATCTCTCGTGCTCTTAATCTCTAGACGTCTTAATATTTTCTATGTTCAGTTCTCTATTATTTTATTTTTTTCTCAATGTATTAAAGATTGATAATGTCATTGTCAACTTCATGTTCAACAATTACATGATCATGAGAGATGCCATCATTTGGCTTCTGCTGGTATACTTTCTCAGCAAAAATTGTCTTACATTTGAAGGTAAAAGCTTAGCTTACCAGGTATAACAAGTGGCCAGCTATAATTCCACTTTGATTGTCCAATTTATCCTGCTTTTTTTGTTCTAAGCGTCTAAGGTAAGGGGTAAATCTTCTATTTCAAGCATCCATAAATTTTCAAAATTCAATAATCAACCAGGCCAATGAAATTATTTGGATCTTTCTGACTTGACCAATCCTCAAGTTACCAATTACATTTACAAATTCTAAAAGGGTATTTGAATGACAACTTATTACAAATGTTAGATTAATTTCATGGTTTGATTTGTCCTAAGTGAATGTGTATATGAAAATTATGTATTGATTAATTATATACTATTATTACATCATACACATTTTCAGTGAATTATGATCTTAACAATGTAAATTTAACATGGGCTTAAGTAGTAAATATGAAAGTAAATTTTAAAACAGTAAATTAGGACAAAATGTTATGGACATACTATGGCAAAAAAATAATACAGAAATATTACTTACAAAACAAAAGGCAAGGATACCAGGTTATGTATAAGCATTGAAGGAATTTTGGGTCTAATATTGACTTTTCTCTCTCTACTTCTCTACTCCTTGATTGAAAAAAACTAGAAAAAAATGCTAGAAACTGACTGATAAAACTAGAATAAAATGCTAGAAACTGACTAGGAAAAAATAGTAGAAACTGACTGGAAAAAAATGCTAGAAATCATTCAACAACCAAATCAAGCAACCAAACAGCAACCCCGAACCACCAATTCAGCCACCCATAGCAATCAACACTCGAATTCGAACTCCAACAACCAAATCAAGCAACCAAACACCAACCTCGAACCACCAATTCACATGTCCTCTTTAATTATCCAATTGTAAATAAGCATTATCCAATTTTAAATACACATTAGATGGGAATATACCTCTATACATGGAATGATAAATCTAATAATATTAAATAACCTAAATAACATTATGAATTACCTGTGCTGCCTCTGTACACCAATATCTAATGAGATAATCCCATTGGTCCTCCTCAACACTTGGTGGTGGGTTTGCATATCGTTGTTCATCTGTACGCCAAATTTTATAATAGTTACTTTTAATTTCACTCTTCCAATCTTTCCATTTATGACCAAGGGATGATAATGTCCAATCTTTTGAGATTTCTTCTACTGCAAACTTGCCCTGCATATAAAAGATAAATAAATAAAGAATCGAGTAATTAAAAAAAAAAAATTTAACTCTAGAAATGAAATGTGAAATCAGTCAGTCAAAGATGTGAAGAGTCGAAAAAATTTTACCCGGACCGTCGTCCACATGTCCTCTTTAACTATTTCAGGGACTTTCCTCCAATTTTTATAGTTCAAGGGAGTTGCAAGACCATTACGGGCAATTGTGCCCAAATAATTAGCGAAATTTTTTTCATCGGCTCCATTAGGCTGTCCATGCTCATTCACACTGTAAAATGGTATAATAATAAATAAGTCATCGATTTGGACCAAATAAGTAAAATGGTATAATAATAAATAAGTCATTCACACTACAAAATGGCTTCACTTGCATGCATTTCCTAAAACTCTATAGTCATTCAATGCCATCATTTAAATAAAGTCACCTTAATGGTATCAGGCCATTCTTTTTGGTGTCATGTTGTACCACATTTGCGCAGCGTGTGGGGCCTCGAGTCTTCTTCGGTGTTATTAACTCATTGCTTTTGGTAGTCCCCACGTCCTCTTCTTGTGAACCATGGGAAGTATGGGACTGCGAATTTGAACCCTGAGAAAGTCCTCCATGCAATTCTAATTCCAAGTTTGTTGTTGCCCTACGTTTCATTATGTTCCTGCATAAAGCTAACAAACCTTTGTTGCCATGTTTATTCAAGCTGGTAGTTAAGATGAAATTTAGGCTGAATATATTAGGTCTTCAAAAACATCAAAATTTGGAAAAGTAACACACTTGAGAACAATTACAATATGCAAGAAGGAAGTATAAATTTACTTAAGTATGATAGTACCACAGTTTTATTTGTTTTAGGACAATATCAATTTGAAATATGTTAAAAAAATAAATAAATAACTAATATTATGTATACTCTTTTTACTTACCAAGTTATAAGAAAATGAGTAAGGGAGGGAGAGATGGAAAAAAAATCATAATATTCCATAAGCACGAAGCCAAAAAGAAGATGAAAATAAGAAAATGCAACATTTAAGAAAAAATTATCATCATTCTAAGTATGTTATTCATCCGAAATATCTTCTTTTTCCGTGTTTGCTGATGAAGATTTATCAACCATTGTTCCAAGCACATCACCTCTATCCCAATAAATGTGATCATCAGTTGCATCCGAGTGTAGAGAACTAAATGGTTACTCAAATCCATAGGTCTCAGTATCATCTTCAGGAATATCATATAAATCACGAGGTTTTGTCCCTATAACAACATGCCAATCTGTATCAACTGGGTCTTGAACATAAAACACTTGCTCAGCCTGAGATGCTAGAATGAATGGTTCGTCAGTTCGCATTACACGTGAAAAATTAACGAGTGTAAACCCAAAATCATCCTCCTTTATCCCTCTACCCTTAGAGAGTACATCAAACCAATCACACTTGAACAATACAACCTTCCTTTCTTCATTGTAGTCCAACTCAATGATATCAATCAATAATCCGAAGTAATGAACATTTCCTACAATAGGATTTTGATCACTGGCTCTTGCATAACTTGATGTGTGTGCTTTTAAAACAACACCACTATTTTGGGTCTTCCTCTGATTATCACGATCTCTAACATTAAACTTAAACCCATTAATCACGAACGACTTAAATCGTTTGGAAACGACATTAGGACCCCGAGCTAGCCATCGAATCTCATTAGGGATAGGATCCTCCGTATTCCGCAGCTGTATTTTCAAAGATGTAAGTTTTACAATAAAGTAAATAGCGTATATAATATAAAATTTAATTAACCGTTCTATGTGTAGATACTTACACATTCATTAAACCACTTATGAAATGATAGATGAGACATTGATTGTATTTGTCGTGGCTTTAAATTCCGTTGCCTTCTTTTAAGAAATTTCTTATGCTTTCTGTAATGAAAAAATATCATACTCTATATGTTATATTGTTAACAACAAATGAATAATAATAATAATAACAACTAGGTCAAATATTGTAAACTTTTCACTTACTCAATGAATTGTGTAGCTCCGTCGTAGTTAAATAACACATACCGATGAGCTTGCGTTTGACAATCATCATCTAAAACAATCATCTCCTGTTTTCCTAAGGCACGACCTCTAGGGCCAAAAGTAGACATCTCTTCTCCTTCATCAAGGTTGTCATCATTCCTTGAGGGTCTATTGAACCTTGTCTCCACGTTTGCTAGGTATCTTGAACAAAAATTTAAGCATTCCTCAGCTAAATACCCTTCTGCAATTGAACCCTCTGGGCGACTTCTATTGCGCACATAATTTTTTAAGGTTAAAAGATACCTGATAGGATACAACAAAAAAATGAGAAGTATTTGCAATATTTAGTGGGGAAAAAGGCCTACGAAAATAGTGCAAAAAAGTTAAACCTCTCAAATGGATACATCCAACGATATTGCACTGGTCCTGCGATCTTTGCTTCCTGAGCTAAGTGAATTGATAAGTGGACCATCACATCAAAAAAAGATGGTGGGAATATCATTTCCAATTTACAAAGTGTTAAAGCAATCTTATTTTGCAAATTGTCCAACTCAGCCGGTATGAGAGTTTTTGAACATAATTCCTTATAAAAGTTACTCAACTCAACAAGTGTAGAGCATACATTCTTTGGCAATAGCTTGCGAATGGATACTGGTAATAGTTGTTGCATTAGGATATGGGAATCATGGCTCTTTAAACCGCTAATTTTACGCTCTTTCAATTTCACACAACGTGATATGTTAGCTGCATATCCATCTGGAACTTTAACTTTTTTCAACGCCCGACAAAAGATTTTCTTTTCAAGTGGAGAAAATGTGTAACTTGCTGAAGGCAAATAATATTTGTTTGCACCACGTTCCTGGGGGTGAAGTGAATGCCTTATTTGCATCTCCTGCAAGTCGAGTCTTGATTTTAAACCATCCTTTCCTCGACCCGGTTCATTCATCAAAGTATAAAATACATTGTCGCATATATTCTTCTCAATATGCATCACATCAAGATTATGACGAATAAGAAGGTGCTCCCAATAAGGCAATTCAAAAAATATACTCTTCTTCCTCCAATTGAACATTGGATTTTCATCCATTTCATCCACTTGTGCAGCATTCCCCTTGCTATCATCCCCTTTCCCAAATGCTGGAAAGCTAATGCCCTCTAGTTCATGTAGCACTTCTGTTCCAGATAACATAGGTGGTGCACACCTAGTCTCTTCTGTTCCATCAAAAGCTGCTTTATTGCGTCTGAATCTATGACATTGCTCAACAAAATGCCTATGGCCTGTATAACAAATTTTTTTGCTATGCTTTAACCTACAAGAACAAGTGTCTTTAAGACAAACTGGACAAGCCAAATACCCCTTTGTGCTCCAACCAGATAAGTTTGCAAAAGCAAGAAAGTCACTTATAGTCCACAATAACGCTGCATGCATGCGAAACATCCCTTTTCTCGACGTATCATAGGTATCCACCCCTTCAACCCACAATTCCTTTAATTCTTCTATCAAGGGCTGCAAATATATATCAATATCATTTCCAAGACCCTTAGGACCAGGGATTAAGGTGGACAGTATGAAAAAAGGTTGTTTCATGCACATCCACCCTGGCAAGTTGTATACAGCAAGAACAACAGGCCATGTACTATGTGCAATACTCATAGTCCTAAATGGGTTGAAACCGTCTGATGCTAGGCCAAGTCTAACATTTCTAGAGTCCCTAGCAAACTCTGGATACTTTTTGTCAAAATGATCCCACGCTAGAGAGTCAGCAGGATGTCTTAATTTTCCATCTTTTATGCGTTCTTCCTCATGCCATCGCATATCTGAAGCTGTCTTATTTGACATGAACAACCGTTGAAGTCTTGACTTAAGAGGGAAATACCTTATAACTTTGGCTGGAATTTTTGTCTTTTTTGATGGGGGTGATGTACTTGTACTGCCCTCGGAATGAGTGTTAAAATCCTTCCACCTAGACTTGCCACATTTATGACATGTTTCATCATTGGCGTGCTCCTTCCAGTACAACATACAATCAAAGGGACATGCATCAATCTTATCATACTTGAGACCTAAGTTACTAATTATCTTTTTTGTCTCGTAAAAAGATTTTGGCAGTGTCTCACCTTCTGGTAGTACATCTTTAAAAAACATTAGCAACTCACTAAATGATTTCTCAGTCCAATGATGCAAAGTTTTCAACAAATATAGTTTCACTATAAAAGACAACTTCGTAAAGTTTTTACACCCAGGATATAGATCTGTTTTTCCATCATCTAGAAGCTTGTAAAACTTATCTGCCTCTTCATTAGGGCCCTGATGATACTCATTTTCCCTATCAGCTTGTTCACCCATTTCATTTTGAATTCCAAAACCCTCATATAAGAGTTCGTGCATGTCATCATTATTTACATTGGAGTCGATGTGCTCGTATAAGGTGTGCCCATCATTATGCCTAGAAGACGAAGGTAATTGTTCTCCATGATAAATCCAAGTTGTGTATGTTTGGATAAACCCATTCCACATCAAGTCATCCAAAACTTCTTGTCGTGTTTTCTTGATACAATTCCCACAATTGTTACAAGGACAATATATGCGTCCACTCTGCCTAACTCGCTCAAACGATGTATCTAGAAATTGTTCAACTCCATTCGAGTATGTAGTACTTATCCTATTTGTATAGTAAGAAAGACAAAAGTAAAAATGAATTTATCGTAAATATCTAAACCAAAATGAGAATTAAGCTTTATTTATTTATTATTTTTTTGAAAATTGACGAGACTAAAATTTAAAGTACCTTGACTCCGTAATCCAACTTCTGTCCATTATGATAGATTCTATAACCTAATGAAAGAAATTATACATGAATCTCTAGAAAATAATAAATATATTATAACAAAGTTACAAAAGTAACAAAGTAATAAAAATTATTTATTATCCTCATGAAGAATAATACATATGAGAGAGAGTGTTGGTTTTAACTATAAATACAAGTTTAATGCATTGGATTTCTTTTCCTTTTCCTTTTACAGTTTTCTTTTCCTTTTTCAGTTTTCAGTTTTCTTTTCCTTTTTCCTTTTCAGTTTTAATACATACAAGTTTACTTTAATTCATGACAAAAAGTTATGGCTTGACTAGTTGATCTGTTTTGTGAACACTAAAACCAAAAGTTAGGGTTCACATCCATAACAAAAGTTGCTGGAATTTAAAGAATACGACAAATTGGAAGAACCCATGTATCTCACCAATCAATGAATTCTTAAGAAAGAGACCCTATTAACATAATACAAGCCACAAAAATACAAACTACAATATAAGAACAATAAAAACCCATCTGTTTAGAAAACAAATAAGCCAAAGCAGCAGAACCAACATGAAAGCCTCAAAATCATAAGACCCCAAAATCGGCAACAACATACCGAAAATCGGCAACAACATTACCCTATTTCCTTCAAAAATCAGAAGCCCCAAAATCGGCAACAACATACCAAAAATCGGTAACAACATTACCCTATTTCCTTCAAAAATCAGAAGCCCCAAAATCGGCAACAACATACCAGAAATTATATATGCAGTAGTTGGAGCTGATTCGTTCAAGAAAGAGTAGAATGGAGAAAAACCCAAAACATATATGCAATTGTTCATCTTTACTTAAGAAATTAACAACAATATAAGCTAATTACTTAAGAGAGAGAGAGAAAAGTGGAGCTCTTAAGAAGGGAGGGATTAGGGTTAGAAGTTTTTAGAACTAACCGTATGCCAACTGAACAACCACCACTATGCAGATCTCTGATGCGCCACCAATCGGCCACCACCGCCGTGATCTTCCCTGCACCACACCAACCGCACCACCAAGGTTTGAAGCCGTGATCGAGTCAGTGAGAGAATAGAAGGGAGGAATAGAAATCGTGAGCCAAGTAATAGCCTCCCCTAAACGTGATTTTTAGGAAAAAAATAATAATACATAAAATAATAACAATTAAATAAAAATTACATAATTTCTGGCATATTTTTTATATCCGTCGGAATTATTTAATTAATTCCGGCGCTTTTATAAACACCGCTGGAAATAGTACATATATACCGGCCGTTTTTATCATACCACCGGTATTATAACCAATAATGGCAGTTTATTATAAACTGCTGGTAAAAATTAATTAACAACGGCACACACATAAAAATTGCCGGTAAAAATGATATTTCTTGTAGTGTAAATTCAAGTTTTGATTGTGTACCATTGTCTTGTGATTAATTTGGAGCTAGGATGGAACTTAAAACATGTAATAAAAGTTACCACAGAGGACTGGTACTCACAGGAATCGGAGAAGACGAAGTTTAAACGGACAGAAGGTTGCTAAGGGAGGAAGAAGAGGCTTCCAAAACCCTTAGAGCCGGCTCCCAAAGAGGAGGAGCCGGCTCTTGATGCACTAGAGCAGGCTCTAGTAAGGCTAGAGCCGCTAGAGTCGGCTCTAGATGGGAAGAGCAGGCTCTACTTTTTTCTAGAGCCTACTCCCTCTTTAATTGCTCAGAATGTTGATTTTAGGGTCCGTTTGGGCTGAAAATTGGTTTTCTAAAATCATTTAAAAGCTACTGGAGAGTGTAAATAATTGCCAAAGACTTATAAAAATGTTGGGAAGCATGGTTACAAGTAGGTATTGAGGATAGAATTAACTTTAGTTTAAACAGAGAACCGTAGGAGGATGATTAAAGAATTAATTTTCTTTTGTCTATTATTTTTGAAATTTTGATTTCTCTGTATAATCTTAAACTGCTAGTTATATTTTTATTATGGTTTAAGCATATAGTAGTATAATTAGATGTAGATATGGATGGAATTAACTGATGATTTAAACTGGATATAAATTGCACCAGTTATGGCACTGTTTGGAGAAATAAATTGCATGCTTTTGGTTTGTCATTTAACGGACTGGAATTGGGATTTTTATTTATTACTGTTTTAATTATGTTTAGACAGTTTTATAAGCATGGTAAAATTCTTAGAATTATCTATGTTTGGTTGGAAGTATTTGATATAACAGTTCAGTTAATTTTATCAATTAGTGAATTTGATGCATGCTATAAATGCTATGTTTTATAAAATAACAAATTTAATGGTTGGAATATAATTTCTAGGCCTGGACTGAATGCCTAAGTTTTATAACTATGGATTAATTTGGTTTGTGCATAATTTGGGATTGGTTGATGATTATTTAATACTGTATTATCAACCGTATTAACTGGAGGATGGTATGTACCGGTATGGGACGGTGACATACTAGATATGGACTAGATTAAATACTAAGTCCTATCCAACATGGATTAAGGTATGGATTAATTATATAGGTTAAGTCCATCATCTACTTGTGTCATATCAATTGAGAATTGAATGACCTACTTTGGTTTCAGGATGGCTTGGTTATACATATATCAGACCACTACACAGATGGATGGTATTTTGTATTAGGAGGAGTACGGACTTTATATATATATTGTATGGTGCCGTGGTATGAGCATGAGTCACATGACCATGGTTAGGGTGCGTATATCGCCTAGGATGGATAACTGGACAGAGGTGTTGTTCCCTGGTAGGTCTAGATACACATGACCACAGTATGTGCGATTTGCATGGTATCTCTATTCAGGCTGAGACAATCCTTTTTGGACTAGTGAACGTCCTATAGTGTGTACTATATACATATATGGACTATTCTAAATATTGTTGAGTCTTCCTAGGATGTATCTACGTATCGGATTACTGTTTAGATTGTAGTAGATCAGGATTTGCATGTGGGCCTGACCCACTTCTTTATTTTTCAGGTGCTCGTCAGCTCAAGGGTTAAAGTTTGGACATGCAAGTAGATACAGCTATTCATTCCTCCGATTATGTAGGAATCTTCTCTATGTTAGTTTTGGATTTTATTTTTATGGTTTTCAGTATCTTTTGGAGATTTTTAATAAGGGGTCCAATGGATGGATTCCCGAGTTGTAAACTTATGGAGTTTTGGATTAACAGGTTTTAAGTATTTATTTATAAAGGATTTTATTTCTAGATTCTTTCAGCTTATTATTTTTAATTCTTATTTTATCTTGTATTCCGTGTTCGGTTACATATTAATTGTTTGACATCCCTCGGGTTTGGGCCTAGGCCTGATCAACCCGTGTCTCGGATCCGAGGGGTATCACATTTTACTTAACGACCTTGCTGAGCTGGTTAAGTTGACTGACTTGCACATCCCTCTATAGGCAGATACAAGTATATCTTACATAGTATTTTTGACTAGATGGTGCATATTCTTTCATGCTTGATGATTTTGGTCTTCAAGCCATTTTCAGCTCTATGCACCTGTCATGTTTGGCTTGATCTGTACACTGGCTTGGCATCATCTGATTACTGACAAATCTGACTTTCTTCATCAGATGTAGGTGAGAACCTTCCATCTGGGGTTCGAAATCTCTGGACCTCTGACATAGTCAAGTTGTCATTTTCTATTTCAAGCTCTTTTCACATTTCTAGACCTGACTTGTTGGGTTCTTAAATCATTGGGATTCACAGCCGATCTTCATTTGAATTACCCCAAAGATTCTTCAAGTGATTATGACCCGAGACCCCTGATGATGACCATATTTGGTTATGAGTCTTGATCATGGCCATAGTGACTAAAAATCTTGGTTAAGATTCATGATCATGACCATTATGACCGAGAGTCTTATGATCATTGTGACCGAGAGAAATAACGGTCGAGACTCTTAATCATGGCTGGTTATGCGTCTTTGGAGAGATTTTGGATCGTGACCATTATGACTGAGAGTCTCATGACCATGACCGTTGTGACTGAGAAAGTTGTGACTGAGAGTATTTTGGCTTACACTCATGACCATGAGACTGAGACTCTCATAACCATAGTGACTAATAGGATTTTGACTGAAAACTCATTATCATGACCATTGAGACTGAAAGTCATAACTATAGTGACTGAGAAGGTTTTGGCCTAAACTCATGACCATAAGATTGAGACTCTCATGATCATAGTGACTGAGAAGATTTTGGCCTAAAACTCATGATCATAAAGACTATAAGGATTTTCGCCTAAGACTCGTGATGATGAAGTGTGAGAGGATTTTCGCCTAAGTTCTGACCATAGTGACTGAGACTCTCATGACCATAGTGACTGAGAAGATTTTAGCCTAAACTTATGATCATGAAGACTGAGAGGATTTTCTCCTAAGACTCATGATCATGAAGATTGAGACTCTTATGACCATAGTGACTGAGAAGATTTTGGCCTAAGTTTATAACCATGATGACTGAGAGGATTTTGGCGCGAGACTCATGATCACAAGACTGAGAGAAAAATGGCCTAAACTCATGACCATGAGACTGAGACTCTTATGACCATAGTGACTGAGAGGATTTTGGCCGAGACTCATGATCATGATGACTAAGACTCCCATGACCATAGCGACTGAGAGGATTTTGGCCTAAACTCATGATTATGATGACTGAGACTCTTATGACCATAGTGACTGAGAGGATTTTGGCCTAAACTCGTGATCATGATGACTGAGACCGAGAGTCTCAATCATGGCCGGTTATGAGCTCAGAACTTCATATCAGTTTTAATGGCCTAAAAATTCCACTCTTCTTCCTTCTCAGCCTTAAATCGGATCACTGTGATTAATCTTTGGCCCTGATGATCATGGGTTGATCCAAAGTTCAGACTTTATGGTTTCTGACCACGTGGCACAATTGCTTCAAATTATATTTTAGGTGTTAACAACTGCCCCCAACTCTATGAAAATGGGTTCATACCGAATTTTTGTAGAGTAGTATTTATTTAGGCCAGTTTGTGTGTTCGGCCTGGGACCAATCAAGGCTAATTTTTGCCTTTAATGTATGGACAATTAAATCCATATAATATATTAACAAGAAAAGAGAAGTGCATAATTTCATTCCGCAATGACAATTTGTATCTAGGCCATATTGAAACTGCTGACCTGCATCAGTGACTTATACCCATTTCCTGCCTGCAGTGGCCATTCATACCTTAGCCATTTTGAAACTTCCAACCTGCTCAAGCTTAAAAAATACACCAAAATAGAACATAATAGCAGTTGCTGACCACTTTTTAGAGAGAGATATATTGAAACCCATTTAATCCAAAAGAGAGAGAAATGAGCTATGCAGCAGCTGCATGTCTCAGTCCCAAAAAAAAAAGCAAACTCAACAGAAAAAATGACGAAGTGTGGATCATATTCGCCGCCCAAGAAACATACACGTTTCCTTTGCAAGCATCAATGTTGTCACCTCCAACGGCGTCGTCGTCGCCAGAGATGATGCTCCTACCATTTTCTGACCTTTTGAGAACGTTGGTGAAGAAATGGTGATTTTTGACACCATTGAATCTGGTTAGAAGCAAAGTTCAGCCTGACCAAAAGTTGGCGAGCTTCTAGGAACTTCATGAACCGATCTCTGGTGACAAGCTTGCAAACATGCATGATGCTCTATCATCCACCCAACCATCAACATGCAAACCCGTTTTTTAAATGGGCATTGACCAACCAAGGAACGAACATGGTTTATATTGCCAAGCATTGCAACATGTTTGCCATGGACCGTCGCCGGCCATGAAGAGATTGTCGAACCAGTCATTTTCTTCATGACGTCACTACTGCCAAAACTATCACCGTGGATGGACTCGCCGCTGGAAAAACATGTGAGCTTCTACTGCAAAACACAAGTTGTTATTCTCTTCTGCGGCGTCGCCGTCGGTGATGGTGCCCACAACATCGGTCATCATCAATACTTGACAGTTTTTTATTTTGAGTGAGCTTCAAAACTGACCCATGTGGTGACGCCGGTGAGCTCTGTGGACTACATATATGGGCAAAACACCGACGATGAGCTTGATTGCAACAC